CACACACATTTTCCGTGCTTTCCAATAGTTTAAAATAGTTTTATTCCACTGTTTAATAACCTGTTCAATACAAACATGCCACTTGTAAAAATGAAATAACATTTCTGTGAACTGATATTTGTTTAGTGAGCTTATTAGAGGATGTTCCCATTTTTTGGGGATGTTCCCTTTGATTGTAAAATGTCAATGAAGATGTCAGACTTAGTATATTTGTTAATAATTACATACAACACATGGAATTTTTGTGTGTGTGTGTTCCAAGTGAATCTGCGGCCCCCTGGTGGCCAGTACATCAATGATGTGGCCCCCACCACCATCAAAGTTGCCCATCCCTGGCCTAGATGGTTTGAATAAGAGATGACCGGTCTAGCTGCTGTGGACGCTGCGCCGATGCGGGAGAAATGGCTCTAATAATGCCCCCAAAATGTGCGGGATGTTCTGAAAGTGTTTCTGGACCAGAAACGTGTAGCTTGAAAATAACATGCCCGGAACGAATGACTACATCTTCACTTCTAAATCCAACTAAACATTACCATTGAGGAGTTAGAATGATGCGCGCGCGGTTTGCCCAGAACCGGGCCTCTGTTACACTTTAAAGGGAAAATACGTTTATGCCATAAATGTTAGGTTGGGTTGTGGGGGCGGGTGCTCCTGATATGAGCGACGCCGCGGAAAGAGCAGATGTGAATTAGGCGGCAGTTAGACAGAAAGCAGCCTAGTTCATTGAAGTTATTACACGCCATCCTGCCTCCCTGCGGGTGATAGACGGTTGAAGTCTGAGGCGTTGCGTGATGGAGAGGAAAGTGAGTGAGGTGTTTGAGGTGGTGGAGCGCTGACTGATCATGCTGAGGCCGGGTGGGAGGGGGCTCCACATAATTGGCAAGAGAGGGATGCGCGTGCTGCGAAGATGCGGCAGTAAAGCTCGGAGTCCAGAGCACCCCAGTATGTTCCATGGTTGAACTGCTTGGCTAGCGAAGTGGACGTGGTAGGTGTAAAAACCTGAGCCTCCGAAGCGTAAGGCCATGTCGAGCTCTATGAGGAGGTACTCGTCTCACTCGGTTCTACGTGTGGGATCGACTGAGCAGATGACGTTGCGGTAAAGGGAAAAACCTAGGGCGAACTCTGCGGGGGTTAAGTCCTTAGACCTCAGAGCTGAGGGATTTCGCAGCTGGACTAAACCGAAGTTGGTCTGCATTTCCCTGGGCTGGCTAGTGTCGATGATTGATGGCTGTAGTAGCTGAGCTAAGTCTACGTAGTTACCTAGGAGAATCCGCCGGCGCAAGACGGGGGACACGAGGGAAGGGCGATAGACTGAGGAGTCTGGCTGGATGGGTGGTGTTGCTGCGGCTAGAGTGTAGCTGGTTGTACAGGGAGGAAAAACATTTGGGTGTTGGGGAAGGGATGGGGGGAGGGGGAAAGGATAGACCAGTTGGAAAAGAAGGTACTGGGTAAGAGTCGGCTAATGGGTTAGCATGTAGCATGGCCCCTTGGGTTACTGGGTGAGGCGCTGTTGTTACGGGGTTAGCTGCTAAAGGAGGAAGTTAAGCAGAAGCTGGGTTGCTGTGGACTGCTGAAGGTAGAGAAGAAGAAGGGATGGAGGGATGAAGGGATGTACGTGCAACGGGATTTTTTGAAGCCTGTAAGCACAGGGATGAGAGAAAGGTTGACATAAGCTGCGACATGTCAGACACAGAGAGAGCAGGCACAGAGGGCAATACGACCTGGCCCCCACCAGGGGGTGCTGGTGAGTCGGGCTGTGTCCGTGGAGGAGGACAGAGTCCTGTGACATCACGACCCGTGGTGCGCGCGCACCGCACGGTGGTTGGCTCTGGAGCAGGAAGAGCGGTGTGTCTCGTTGTTCTTGCCGTTGTGCTGCTTTAGGCTTTGTAGAGGTTGAACAGTCTAGCCTTGTTGTCATTTCGGTGAAAGTGGATGCCGTTTTCTTTCAGGAAACGTTGGAGTTGAATGACTGTCCACTTCCGTTGTTCGGGCTCCGTAGTTCGGGCTCCGTAGTTCGGGCTCCGTAGTTCGGGCTCCGTAGTTCGGGCTCCGTTTCGGAGCGCGCATCCGAGAGGAGTGTCGAATGCGCCGCTGCGAGTGGCCCGGGGGCTGCTAATGAGGCAGGCTGCCGTTGGTGGGGAGATTGGAGCTGGCTGTGCCTGTTGTGGCCCCGGTTGTTTGCCCTCGCTGGCGGAGTAGACGAAGCCTGGGACCTGTCTGGAGTTGGAGGTATCTCGTTGGGGGAGCGTGAGTGGGAGCGGTGGCAGCTGGTGTGTGGGACACTGATTGCCGAGCGCACGCGGCTCCGTTCGGATGCTTGGCTAATGGCGCGTTTCCACTACACGGCCTCGCTCGTTAGGACTGGCTCACTTCGTTAGGACTGGCTCGCTCGTTAGGACTGGCCCGCTCGTTAGGACTGGCTCACTTATGGCGCGTCTCCATTAGAGTTTAGGAACTGGGGTAGTATCTATAGTAACGCAGTGTAGGCGGAGCGATCGGCTTGTTGTTGTCCTTCACTACGCGATACTCACTCTTCATCTTTTTCAGTTTTTCCCTACTAGACAGTCCTCGAGTAACCGCTTCCGCACATCAGTGTAGAGACCTCCTGAAATACTTTCATATTGCGAGTTGTCCCGTCAAGCTCCCACTGGATCTTGTCATCTGCAATAAAGTGTAGGAACGTCGTAACTTCCTCGGTGGACCACGGTGTGCTTTTCTTTGCCATTTTTGTTGATCCTCAAAAATGCTGTTTATAAAAATGCTGCAAGCTTCGCTATATATATATATATATTTATATGCGACGCGTCGACGAGTTGCATATATTGCGACGATTTTCTCTGACCAATCAGCAGTCGAGAGTGACGTCACAGCCTGGTTGTTCCTGGCCCTAGAACCACAATGTTATGGGGCCAGAAAAACTGTGAATTAGGACCCGCTAGCCGGTACTAGGCCAAGTGGAAACCCTCTTAAACGGGGCTCCGCGCTGTAGTGGAAACGCGCCATTAGATCCGACTGCTGAACCGAGGATGGCGGGTAGCCGATGTCGAAGAGATCTTCATCTGACTCCGGTGAGTTGATCAGCAGTTCGGGATCCATGGTGAGTTTAATGTTCTCGTGGTAGCGTTTGGCTTGTGAACCGTGACGACGCGCGGCGTGAATCACGGTCTGGCTGTCAGTCCTTGAAAGGATGGAGACAAGCAGTGGCTGGAAGTTTTGCCGGATATAAATAGGGGTGGCCGTGGTTCGAGGCGGAGTTTTAGGCGTGGCCATGGTTCGAGGCGGAGTTTTAGGCGTGGCCATGCTCCTGAACCTATGTTAACCATTTAACCTCATTTGTGCAGCACAGGGTTCATGTTTTAGAAGCATTTTTAAAATAAAAGTCCATGCGAGAAAACAGATCAAAAAAGGCCAGGGACCCCAGAGAGTTATAATGCGTGTTTTTCTGAATGAATATCGGATCGATCAGGCTAAGCTAACGTTGTAGCTGCTCCGTCCACACTCACAATACCATGATACAGATACAACAGCGACTGTATTCACCATGACACAGACAGTCTGTGGTTTATACTTGTATAACTTTTGTCTAGTTTCTGAACAGATATGAGGAGCTGTGAGCTCTGTGTGCTAACAGCTAACGTCTGATGTTTTGGTTTTCTGATTCAACGTCAGTGACGGCAGACTGAGATCCTCACCGCTGATTGGCTACCGCGTTCGGCACGCGAATTTGACGCTCGAGTTGAAAAAATGTATTAAAAATACTCTCGTACACACACACACACACACACACACACACACACACACACACACACACACACACACACACACACACACACACACACACACAGACTTTTGCATTTCAAAGTATTGCTTGTTCATACAGTTGAATGAGTGTGGACAGAGCATATACAATGTTAGCTTAGCCTGATCGATCCGATCTCCATTCAGAAAACACGCATTTTAAAAGGTTTCCGCCTGCCGTCTTGTCTGCATTTACATGTGCATAATACATACTATTTAATTAACACGGAGAAAGTAAGAACAATGTTAACTTCTGTGCATTTCTGTTTCAGTCAGACAACTCATGTGTTCCTTTAACATGTTTATTAGAAGCAGCATATAGTTGAGTTTGGCGACTAGGCTCGGGCATCATCACTCCATAGATATACATAGCACGATGAGTGATGATTAAATAACTAACCCCGAGCCTACAGGTGGAAGCTGGGGTGGAAGCTGGGGTGGAAGCTGGGGTGGTGGTGGGGCAGCAAGCAGCAGCGACGTAGAGGTAGCTGCAGCAATAGCAGCAGCAAGCAATGCATGGAGAGAGATCTGGCAGGTTCAATAGAGCGGCATATTAAGGAGACTCTGTTTGGTTGGTTGTAGAGTGGCAAGGGGGCGTTATGTATGAATGCAGCATAAGTGCTCGAGTTGACTGCCTGAACTAGCTCGCAGGCTTCGCCCCATTTGTGGTATCAACATTCTTCTGAACTGAAACATGCTTAGTGATCAACGGCTTACAGTTCCTGAATGCTGTTATTGAGGTTAAAATATGCTCTTAAATTGTGTCTGGTTTTGATTGCTTTCTGTGGAACCTGTCTATTGACTTTTTCATACAGGTCAATTTATTGGTTTATATTGTCAGATTATTAGATGAACTTTGCCCATTCTTGGTCTTCACTGCTAATGTGAAAGGACACTGAGTTAAGTGCTCAAATCCAGCCAAAGACTGTGAAAAACTAAAATCAGGTCTTGGTCCTGGACTAGCCCTAACCCCAGGGTGCTGAGACCTGGCTATGGAGCTATTTTCAGTCTGACACTGGCCTGTTGTTTTCCCAAATCTGAGAACATTGGGAGAGGTATAAATAACGTGTAAACCAACATGTATTTGAAACAGTGAGTTCCAAAAATATACACACACTTTACATTAACTCAAAGTCTCTCATGTCAGTTTTCTCCGGCACCAGTAACACCTCGTGTTTCTTGTACCTGCTGATGTCTTTCAGGCCTGATGGTATAGGCACAGTGACCGTAGAAGAGAAGGAGCACTTTGAGGAGATCAAAGAGAGGCTACGGGTTCTTCTGGAGAACCAGATAACACACTTCAGGTAGGATCCGTGTTCAGCAACCATGTGCTGATCTCATGCCAATCTATTCTGCTGAGGGTTCACATGAAAGTCCAATCTGTCTCTCCTTAGGTACTGCTTTCCATTTGGTCGGCCAGAAGGGGCGCTGAAAGCAACTCTGTCCTTGCTTGAAAGGGTATGATGGATGGCCGTATTTTTCCAAAGAGTCGAAACCTCACACAATGAGGCCATACATTACACCATTTAACCAATTTAGACGTGAATCAATTCAATTCAGGTTAGGTCAGCTTGGCTGTAAGACTTGCGCTACGATAAATTAGAAGCTTAGGAGCTTTTAAAGCACCTTAGCAATGGTGAAACAGGAAATGGCTTTTAACTTGCAGCATTGACCGATCTGCACCAACATTGACACCAACAATCCAGGCCTGGGGACACCCCGCTATTGCCTTCGCAATAGCGGTGTTATCTTTTTTCATGAAACAAGAAGTGGCTATTACTTTGCTTAACATGATCAGATCCCTGTCAAAAATACTTTTACTATTTGACTTTCTTTTTCATTTGAAAATGATTGCTCGAAATAAAAACTGTTGCTTTCCTTTTTAGGTTCTGATGAAGGATATTGTTACCCCGGTTCCACAAGAGGACGTGAAGGCGGTGATACGTCGGTGTCTGGAGCAGGCTGCTCTAGTCAACTACCAGCGGCTGTCAGAGTACGCCAAACTGGAAGGTAAGTTACTGCTCCATCTCTGCTGCTCTGTGTGGTTGCTACTGCAAAAACACTGTATGGGCGTTCTGTCCTGGCGCAGCTCCTAATCTAACAGCTCTTGGCTAAGTCAGTTAGAGTTGCTAAAAGAGTTTACCGTGACAGAAGAATGCAGATGTGAGAGATTCTACACGCAGTGTTGAGAGGATTTCTGAACACTAAAGAATACCTGAAGAATGTACCTGGGTGTTGGTGTAGTCACGGTGTGTCTTTCAACTGTTGGAATGAAGAGTTTAAATGAGCAATGCACCAATGGATCTCTCTTGTGGTCAAACAGCTAATGGCAATTATGTGCATGACAATAAAAAAAAAAAGTTTTCCCTCAGGTGTCAGAAAAACCGATAAAGATGAATGTGACTGACTGTCTGGTTTTCTGATGTGGAAAGGACTTCTTTATGTTACAATTAATGTTCATAAAGCTTGTTGCCAAACATGTGCGCGATCTTTAGAATAAATCAACTACATCGTATAGAACTGTTTATGAGTTTCAATTCCGCATTTATAAAAAGCTTAACTTGTACATTTTCTTCACAGCTGCAGAAACTTTTCAAAAATGTTTTTACAAAAATAATGTGTTTATTCTGCATTATCTCTATCCAATTGTACTAACAAATGTACAGTAAGTAAAAATGCATTCAATTCAATCTTTATGCTGACTTCGTCCACCATGCCTCAGCTTCCTTTCCAGAGTCCTAACCTGCTTCTGTCTTCCTCTTTCCCTGCCTGGTAGCTGAAGTGATGCTCCTTCCTTTTCCTTCCTCTGCCCTCCTCTACCTTGCTCTCTGATGATTTCCATTCTCCCCCTCTTTTACCTTGTCTATTGGCTTGTGCTGCTCATCATTAGCTGCTGTTTGGAAACAGGAAAGCCAATAAACAAGACATGATGAGACTGTCCCTTGTGGCAGTTCAGTGTTTTTTTCTGTTGCATGATCCAGGTTCTCATTAGTAGGCATCAAAAGCACTTTACAGACCTCTGAAACTAATTATGTTCAACTGAGTGACCTGCTAAATGTATCTTTACTTTAGGTCCGATTTGTAACTTATGTTTGTTCGTGAACAATGACATTTGGAAAATAAGCTCATTCGCTGTCTTAGCCAGAGTCAAAACAAAGATTCACTCCTATGAGACCAGTACAGACATAAGTCCTGGATGTGTTTAGCTTGGCAAAAAGATCTGTAGAACTCGGGAAACAGCTCCTGTCTCAAGTTGCATCTTGGTCATTTGGAATCATTGATACATTCCAAGGCCATCCTGCCTTGTTTACAGGAAAGAGCTCAAACCTAGCAATATCTTTATGAAGGTCTTTATCAACCTATTAGCTAAGAGCGAAACATCTAGAAGGCTAACTCTCCTTAAACTTTAACAAATATTACAAATATGATAGCTCAGAAGTATTTTTGAGAGCTTTTTTTCTTACTGCTTGTAGTCTTAATGCTAAGCTAGGCTAAACAGGTCCAGGACCTCTCTACTGGACACACAGAGGCAACAAGATTCATTGAAATGCGGCCAATAGTCTTTCCATAATGATTCTGACTAACAGACAACTCAGACTGGCAGATAAGCTCCATTGCAGAGGTAACAGAGGCCAATGGTTTTCTTTTTCAGTTTTGTCCACATATTGCCTGGCTAGGATCAGATGCAACACATTGAGAGAAGTACAAGAAAGCAAACAAGTGCATTTCCCAAAATGTTGTTGTTCAAAACAAATTCAACTTCAAAATTATCAATTTAAGACGATGTCTGTAAAGAAACCATCACCTCCCTGAAGACACTAAGGAATGTTACCCTTAGTTTCTCAGTTGTGATTGATAACCCCAAACCCCGCCCTTCATACTGGTGTGCTTCCTGCCCTATAGTACTACAGGAAACAACTGTTTCTAGATTTTACTTCTGCCCAACAGAACGAATGGTTAATCCAAAATAGACAGCTCATTATTTTTTATCCCCAAAAAACATCCATGGATACAAAACAGTCTTTCCTTATATCTGTCTCACGGTAACAGGGCTATGCCCTCTAGCTCTCTCTTGCCCCTCTTCCACCAAACCGGTTCCGGTTCAAGATCCGTTCTTGTGCTTTTCTGGTGCTGAACTGGTTTCCACCGCTCAGAGCCCGACTGGTGCTGCGTCATGACATCACCGTTTACGTCGCTGATTTTCTCCCAAACGCCGCTCACAACAACAACAATGGGGGACTGCGTCGGGTCGATGATCGTGTTGCTTTTTAATCATACAAAGCCAGATTAAATTAAAGAACTACTTCTTAACCCTCGTACTTTTGTGCCGTGGTTCATTGTTTATTAATGTGGTTCAGCGGCATTTACCAACCGCTGCAGTGCTGCTCGTCCACCGGAGTTCAGTCTACCGTTAACTCACGGCAGAGTTTAGTCTACCGTTAACTCACGGCAGAGTTTAGTCTACCGTTAACTCACGGCAGAGTTTAGTCTACCATTAACTCACGGTAGAGTTTATTCTCCCGTTAACTCACGGCAGAGTTTAGTCTACCATTAACTCACGGCAGCGGCCGCTGGAAAGTATTCACTTTCTGACTGTCACACAAGCAGCTGATAGATATCTCCCATCCCCCATGTGAATGTGTTTCAGTATGGATTGACGCTGTTTGGCATCACAACGGTGTTATGAACGTTTCTCTGGTATAAAATGGGTGATGTTAGCATAGCAACCGAAGCTAATCTGACTATCTTGACTACTTGTTGCTATCCTATTGTGGCATAAACCATTTTCTACAGGCACATTTTACCGGCGTATTTTTCATAATGATTCTACTTGTGATAGTCGGACACGACAACCTGTGCAGCCCATGTATTGATTCCATCCGATAGCTGCTATAATACAAAACAATAGGAAAACGTCTGCCTGCTCTCCACAATGATCAATGACAGTGAACGGATGGTCAAAGTAAGGTACAAATAAACAGAATCACACGAAGCCTGGTTAGTGTTGCCTGACTTTATAAAGTGTGTGGTCACGTTCTAGTCACTTTGCTCAGCGCTACAGCTTGTTACAACTTTGATTTGCCGTACTCGCCATTAACTGTTATTGCTCAGGTTAATCTCGACCCCCTCCGACGTAAGCGGTCTTGGTTCTTGGTTCTTGCCGGGCAGCCGAGTGGGGTCAGGTAAGAACCGGTTTTCGGTGCTTAGAGCCGGCTCCGCTGCGGTGGAAACAGGAAGAACCAGAGCTTAATCAGGCTCTAGCCCGGAACTGGCCCTGGAACCGGTTTGGTGGAAAAGGGGCATCTGACCTCAGCTCACTGTCCTCAACCCATCTATCCTTTTCAACCCAGTAGAGATTTAACCTATAAACCTCTAACACTTCCCCATGACTAAAGCATCGATGCAGCCTCAGAGTGTCAGCCTTTGAGTTTTCATCCCACAAAATATGAATTTGACAGTCACAGGCGCTTCATAGAGCAGCTTTCCCAAACTAGATTGATAAACTGCTTTTTAATATGAAACAACATCACAGTTATGAAGAGCTGAGTAAATGTTAATTAATCGTTTAATATTAATTCACTATTGATTTAGGAATAATAATTTAGCAAACAATATGAAGCCTAAAAGGTTGTTTCTTTTTTATGGTCATGTTTTGAACATAGGCCTAAGTATAAGCTACTTACTTTTCAACACTGTCAGAGTACTGTATATAAAGTATTCATTTTTCCCGCAGATCACTGTAACGGATTTTAGCATGTCTTGCTCTTGCACTCAATTCAGTACGAGATGTTACGGCCACTCCCAAAAGTGGGACTACGGAGCTGCAGTCTGCTCACACCCAGTGAAGCTGTCTCTAAGCAGCAGGGAGTGGGGGGGAGGGGCCATGGGGAGGGGTAGTGAGCTAATTATTTGTGGTCTAATAAACAGACCATATCATTATTTTTCCCAAGCTAGAGTAGTCGTGACAACTTCAGCGTTTTTAACATAGGGACGGCACCACAGACTGCATATAGGAAGGGACGGAACATTTTCCTGAAACATCCAGGACGCAGTCCCGCAGAGCAACAGTGCGTTAATGCGGATACGTGCGTGGTTGAATCTCAACTGGGTCGGAAAAAATGACAGAAGCATCTCCAGCCCAGCTAACAGCAGTCTGTAATCGCTGAGCCTACACTTATTCATTGATATTCTGACTTTGGCATGTCATCAAACTCAGATATGAGACAGATCTCAAAGGCGCTTTATGTAGCATTTTCATTGATACATGAATTACTGCAAGCTTATGCAACTCATTCTGAGACATTGTTATTTTGGTTACAAAACACATACCCATTATAATCAGTTTCTACATGCCATTTAAGCAATACTGGGTTGTTTAAAGTTCAAACTTAGCTTGTGTTAGTGTACACATTTACAAAATAACAACCATGTTTTTTTGTAATCAAAATGCAAATCAGGTTGCTTTTGTTGTGATGTACAGCATTTGTTTTAATATATTTGAAATGTTTACTGTTTACTGAAATAATCCAGAAATATAAGAAAGCTGAAATGAATTGATAGGGATAAGGAAGTGATTAACCTAAAAGCAAGTGGCACACATAAAGAGGTTAATCATTTAGCTGACAAGTATTCAAATGTATGATCAGAAGAACAGAATATAGTAGACCTAGTGTAAAGGAAACCAGTCTTTGGTAATAATTGCAAATCTCAAAATGATATTTATAACACCTTTGAGATATTACATTTTTTATTTCAATTAGCTAAATAAAAATGTACTTTAATGGCACGACATGTGTAGAACAAAAGAAAGCAGGTTCGACTCCTGGGTCAGCCCTCTGTCCCGCCCTTCTGACCCAGCCTCTCTGACCGCACCTCTCTGACCCCGTCCCTCTGACCCCGCCTCTCTGACCCCGGCTCTCGCATGCCTCGGTATCCTCCCTCTTTCTCTGTAGGGAAAAAAAGAGAGATGTATGAGCATCCTGTCTTCTGCTTGGCGTCTCAAGTGATGGATTTAACCATTCGTGAGTACTTTCCTCATTCCCAAGCCCCCCCCCTCCTCTGCACCCTATATGTTTCTCTACAACAGTATGCACGCCAACAACAAGTAACCCCACACTCTTGACGCTCCTGCCGTCCTTTGGTTTGTGTCTATCTATTGTTTGCGTCTGTAAAGTCTACAGTTACATGTAGTTTGTTGCTCAGCCACTCAAAACGCATTCTAATTTCTCTGTGAGCTTCTTTTCTTTTCTGTCCGGCACAAAACACCTTTTCTTTTTCTGTCTGCGACTTGAATGCATTTTTACTTTGCTTGTGTGTGAATCCTTTAAGTGTGTAAGACCACGGTACATTCAAACAGGACACCCATATCCTGCACTTATTAAAATGTCATTTTAATTCATATCAATCCTTCAAGGGAAATTACTTTGGAATCAGGTTAGACAATAATTTTGACAGGTTTTAATGCTGTGTGCTGTTTGCTAACTTCTTTACATAAATCACAAGTAAAGATGAAACATTTCATATCCGACTAAATACCACTTGTTTTGAAAAATATCTTCTCTCTCACCCTCTATCACTTCCCCACCTCTCTCTACCTCCTCTCCATTCTCTCTAAATACAAATACTCTTATTTAGTGGAGAAATGTCAGAAAGATGAAGGTTCCAGGTGACGTACTGTATGTCTAACTTCTGCTGTTCGCTCATTCCTCAGTCTACCTTAAACCATTTCCCCATAGACCCTGTCACCACCTTCCTGATACCTGTACTTTGCTCTGCAAACACAGACACTTCAGGTTTCAGGAACGTTGTGAGTGAAAAGACCTGCAAACTTCCAACATGTCAGAAATATTTGTCATCAAATGTCAAATATCCTAATGAAGTGTTTAATGATGATCACTATCAGCAGTCCTGTTTCAGGATCACATAATTAAGCTCTCCACTTACTGTCCTGGTTAGATCTTACAAAGTAAGAGTCCATAGACATTTTTTAAATATAGAAAAACAATAATTGTTTTCTATGGAGTACTTCTTTGTTTCCACCTCTGCACTTCCAAGCTCTGACATAATAGCTCTGAGTTGACAGACATTGCTAGATCCTAACAATCCCCCCTTATGTACCAGGACAGAAGTCGTATTCATTAGAAGCTTTCAGGCATGTTAGCATGACTTAAGCTCCAGCAGGCGATCCTCCATCCTCCTGCTGTGCTGTCCACAACACCACTGAGCCACAAGAGCTAGCAGCTGGACTGAAACACTCATGAACTCTGTGGGCCAATTCAACCTGCGTAAGACACTGTGCACATGTGTTCTTATCCAGCAGGACGACAGTGCTGACATAGAGTGACACAGCAAAAAGCACACATACTTTGGGGTTTTTAGTGCGTGTCTAGTTTTATAACATCTGACCCATTAAACTGTCCTCACTATGTTTAAAACTAATTAATTCATTAAAACTTCTGGATTTATCCACCATATTTTACTTAGCATACCTCTTACATTATCCGGCCACTGGTAACACCAAACAGAATTGAATCTTGCTGATTGGTTTCTCACTGCATTGCTCTCTGGGCCCCAGTTAAGGTCATTTGTCGTCATGTATTAAGTTGTTGTTTTGAGCTCAACATGAGTTTCATGGCCGAAAGAAACAGTGCAACATCAAATCATATACTTTTTCTAAAATAGGAAACTCACCTTCAATCGTAATCCTACAAATTCACTAACAAAGAAGAAATCAATTTTGTGCAATGAACATACTGAAGGATATGGAAGTCAGACTGACAATAGGCCTGTACTTACTCTTATAGCAAGTACATGCAACTTCCCCACCAAAGACATTATAACGTTGTTTACTCTGTGGATAAGCACAACATAACTACCACATTCCTGCATGATGACTGTTCAATGTACATGCTGTTTGCATCCGTCATCTCGATGACATCCTCAGTGTTCTGTCAGTGACAGAGATGGGTCACTACACAGGCCAGCACTACTTCCAGACACCCAGCAGGGCTTTCAGCACTCATGGAGATAGTGTTGATAGCAAAAACGCTTTAACACTATGTTACAATGGGATTACATTATAACTAGGGCTAGGTAGAAATACTTTAATGTAGACAATGAACTTCCCCTTAAGAAAATGAAAGGTACTATTAACACCATTTATGTTCATTTTTATTGCATTTAGCCATTATCTGACTTGAATGATCTGACAGAGGTATACTGAGGTCTGATACCCAGCCCTAATTATAATAATCTGATATTTCATGCTTGTATTTACAATATGAACACTAGATCGTCCCAGTGATTGAGTCTAAGGCTGCAGACTGTGCTAAGGATCACTGTAGAAGCTATGACCAACATTAGTGAGTGACTGAATCCTCCAGTGTCTGTAGTAGGCAGCAGAACATGCATGCTGAGTGCCTCTTTAAAGCAAATACTGAATGACCCGAGACACTCTTTAGTGTTTGAGGGATGTGTTTGCACACTGGTTGAATGCATACAGTAGTACAAGCAAGAGAAATAAAACATAGTAGATACAGACTCAGAGACTGCCTCCACTGACCTTTGACCTTTGTGCTCCAGAGAATGTAGGGCGGTTAGTCACACCTGCTAAAAAACTGGAGGACAATATCCGCCTGTCCGAGCTGGTGATCGAGGTGCTGCAGCAGAACGAGGAACACCATGCTGAGGTCAGTGCACGCACACACACACACACACACACACACACACACACACACACACACACACACACACACACACACACTGAAAGAGCAGTGGCTGTGCAGAGCAGTAGTGGGACTGAACATGTGGGGCTAATTCAAAGCAATGAGAAGTGACGTGTGTGTCCCCACCAGCCATCTCAGCCACTGATTACACAAACTGTGAATGTGTTTTTACCTCACTATAAAACATGCTTTTTGTGTCACTTTGTCCTTTAAAATTGACTCATTTCCTCTCTGCTTTGTATTTCAATGATTTGTTTGATTTGCGGGGATGATTGATCAGGGAAAAGAGGTATGTGATCATCTTGGTGCATTATGCCCCACCCCTTACCCTACCTATACCCTACCTGTACGCTCTGTGCATGCAGCTAGTGATCCGGCTAATGATGGAGAGGATCATTCAAGTTTCCTCTCTCAACATTGACCCATAATCTCTTTTGGCTTGTGGTCACTTCTAATCAAGTGCTTGTGACAATGCTTGTTAGCTTCTAAGCTAGCAACACGTTTGCCATTGATGCTAAAGAAAATAGACAAGCACTTAAACAAGTATTTTATTTGTTGAACTCATTAAGCTACGCTTTGAGGAAACAAAGTGCAGAGTTGTGACTTTTGATTCTGACTTTTTGTCTCAAACATTACACCTCTGTAGCTTTACCCAACATTTTTCCTGTGTTTAGACATGTGTCATTTATTACCAAGTCCAGTAAGTAAGCTTGGGGAAGGTGTTGTGTCACCTTTCCTTCCTTAAAGAAACCCATTCCTCTCCATTGGTTCCACCAGCACACACAATGGAGGAAATGCGAGGCATGCTTTGTGTGATCAGAGATAACATGATCAATCCCCTTGCATTTCCATGAGAGGCATTATGCTGCTGTTCTAATGATGTGAGCACATAGGGGAACCTGCATTAGACTGCTACCTGAACACTTCTGCTATCAGTTGCATTTCTGTTACGAATACACAATGAACAACTAGGGACCTACTGTAGGTCTATTGCAATTCAATTAGATGTATTTGCAATGCAATTTTATACATGTTTTTCTTTTGTAGCTCTAAAGCTGGTTATTGCTCATCCTATTAACTAGCTCTATTGTGTGCCTCTCATGTAATCATCAATTTTAACTTCAATGCTTTTATACTGATTACTTTGTCAATTTTGTCCAAAAGAAAGAGTAAATCGGACGCAGGATGATTAACAATACTCAACTTTTAAGGTTATGTTCCTACATCTCGAAAACTCTTGACCTGCCACTGTAAGCCAGTATTCCTGCTGTGCAGTGAGTTTCAAAAGGGGCGTCTCCAAACAAAATGGTGCCTAAACAAGGACAGGACTTGGAAAGGTTTGCAGAATAGGTGTATTTATGGAAACGCATAAGAGATCATAAATGTTCACACTGCTAAAGGTTTTTAAGAGCGTACGGAGAAAAGGATCTTCTTCAGGCTTACAGTCTTAACTCAGTAGCTTTGATCTTTCAGGCTAAGGCTGACTGAACACCCACACACATGCATGACATGGGAATACAATATAGAAAACAGTCCAAATGATCATAAAGGTTGCAGCAACAGATTCAAGTTCAGCCTTTGAGTCTCTGCTTCTTGCATGTGATGGACGAACGTTTGGATTTGTCTTGTTTCTGCTAATATGCCAGAAATGTAACATCATTTGTTTTGACTTGAGATGAAAGGGTTAGGGTTAGGGTCATTGTTTGACTGAGCATCCACATTTGATTTAGCGAATTATCTGAGACACTAAAAACGTAGAGACCCTTAAAGGACATATGAAGATTGCGTAAACCCCTTCTTTTCTTCTTTCATTAACTTAAATAAATACAAACGTTATCAATAGCAATGCAAGAGCTCAAAGACACTGTTGCTTGCTCTGTGAAATAAGAACACAAGCCAGTGTAAACGTGTGTGTGAGCAATGTGCAATGTTCAGACACACATGTATCTCAATGACCCGCACTTGTGTTTCACATGGTTCTGCAACAGCTTCGTTTGGCTGGTGCTAACTAAATGGATGAAGGCCCACCAGGTTAATGTGTGATCAATTTTGGTTTCCTTCTTGGTTTGGGTAGATAAATACAGACGCCACAGAGGAAACAAGTTCAATTCTTAATCTTTGTCTACTGCAGAGAACGAGTGTGGCCCGACAGGAAAGTGTTTAGAGGAGAGTGCTTTCCCAGACATGATTTCAAGAATGAAATGGTGAGGCAGTTTCATCTTAAAAACACATTTTTGACATATCTACTCAAAGTAGATTAGAGTGTCACTATATCCTGACAGTTGTGCATGAGACAGATTATCTGTGAACAAATCCACTTAACCGCTCCCATTGGTATTTGCAGGATTTCACTGTTCCTTGATGCAGACATCCAATAAAAGGCTCCCATGTTTGCAGACACATTTTTTGGGGGAGACAAACATTTGTATCACATATATATATATCAAAGTTAACAAGAGCAGCTTTTTGAAACATCCTGATGCATCCTTTTACTTTTACTTATGTTTCTAATGTATTAAAGATGATTACCTGAGTGGCGCAGACTAGACGCACCTATCTCACACATACTTCTGCTATGAGATCTCATGGCAAGTGCATGCCCCCCCCCCCCGACCCCTTCCACTACCACCAGCAACTAAGCCCATGGGTTCATTCACATTACAGTGTTGACAGCTTGATGTGAATGAGCAAACACCATGGTACCTCAAGGGTCCCTCTTAAGAGGCCTGGCAAGCGTGGGGGTGCATGGAGGAGAGCGAGTGTTTCTGATGTGCATGAGAGAGGCTGTCCCTAGCAGTCCCTCCACTGCGTCTGTTCTGCGGGGAGATATGAGCGTGACGCAGCCCCCCGGCTGGAGGAGCTCGTGAGTGTTTAAGGAGCTCCCTGCCAAGCCTGTGGAGGAGCTGCTGTGCTCCTCTGAGGGCCGACAGAAAGCAGGTTATTCTCCGTGCCCAAGCAACGTTTCTACCGCTTTCAGTTGTGAAGAATGCTTCCCCGGAGATCATGCAGTGGCAACAACTTGATTTCATATTATGAAAAGAGAGAGACAGGAGCGTTTGCAAAGGATCACAGATTGTGTGTGTGAGAGGTGTGTGTGTGTGTGTGTGTGTGTGTGTGTGTGTGTGTGTGGTGTGTGTGTGTGGGTGTGTGTGGGTGTGGTGTGGTGGTGTGTGGGTGTGTGTGTGTGTGGGGTGTGAGTGGGTGTGGTGCTGTGGGTGTGAGTATGTGTGTGAGTGTGTGTGAGAGTGTGTGTATGTGTGGGGTGTGTGAGTGAGTGAGTGTGTGTGTGAGTGTGAGTGTATGTGGGTGTGAGTGAGTGTGTGTGGGGGTGTGTGAGTGAGTGTGTGAGTGAGTGTGTGAGTGTATGTGTGTGTGAGTGTGTGTGTGAGTGTGTGTGGTGAGTGTGTGTGTGAGTGTATGTGTGTGAGAGTGTGTGTGTGTGTTGTGTGTGAGAGTGTGTGTGTGTGTGTGCGTGTGAGTGTGTGTGTGTGGAGAGTGTGTGAGTGTGTGCGTGTATGTGTGTGTGAGTGAGTGTGTGAGTGGTGTGGTGTGTGTGTGTGAGTGTGTGTGTGAGAGTGTGTGTGTGTGTATGTGTGTGAGAGTGTGTGTGTTGGTGTGGTGTGAGTGTGTGTGTGTGTGAGAGTGTGTGAGTGTGTGAGTGTGAGCGTGTGTGTGAGTGTGTGTGAGTGTTAGGTCATAGAGCAAGGTACACTGCTCTGTGTGAATGGGAGAATGGCTTGTAGTATGTAAAGCACTTAGAGGGGTCGTAAAGACTGGATAAGCTGTATAAGTACAGTCCATTTATTTAACAATCCAAACTCAAATATGTATATGTTCATTCAAATGATTTGACCTTGTTGTTGTGATATCTTGTTTCTAACGATACTTATGGCGCATTTCCACTACAGGGCCTCGCTCGGTTTGGCTAGGCCTCGTTAGGACAGGCTCACTTTATGCTGCGCTTCCATTACAGTTTAGGAACTGGGGCAGTAACTATAGTAACGCAGTGTAGGCGGAGCCGTGACGTCATCTTCAATGCGAACCACAGAAAAACAACACAGTTAGCTCTTAGCACTCAGAGCTCACAGCTCCTCATATCTGTTCAGAAACTTGACAAAAGTTAAACAAGTACAAACCACAGACTGTCTGTCTCATGGCGAATACAGTCACTGGTTTTATTTATGTCTGTATAGGCCGTTGTTGTGAGTGTGGACGGTCGGAGCATATATAACGTTAGCTTAGCCAAGCTCCATTTAGAAAACACGCATTTTAAAAGGGTGTTTCGCCTGCCGTCTCTCTGCAGACTTGTCAAAGCATTAATTCATGGTTTTTACTAACCGGTATCAGTATGTTGTTACTTCGGCATCATTTTGAAACGTGTATTACAATTAAATCACGGTCAAATATGTTCATCTTGTTGTAGTTGTAGCCCCCTTGCCAGCGATTCTCTCTCTAGTTTAGCATACTCAGCCCGACTCAGCCTGGTGGTTCCTGGCCCTAGAACCACGATTTTATGGGGCCAGAAAAACTGTGAATTAGGACCCGCTAGCCGGTACTAGGCCAAGTGGAAACGCAACCAACAACGGGCCCCGCACGGCTCGGCACGCTTAAAGCGAGCTACCCGCTGCAGTGGAAACGCGCCATAATATCATTACATTTTTTCTTCATTATCTTTGTGTGAACTCAGTGTAATTCACTCTTATTCTGTTGCTGCTTTATCACCTGCATTTCACCACGGGGATCAATAAAGGTCCTTACCTGAACTGATCTTAGTCGAGCAGTGGAGTCACATTACGTGATCAGCTTTTTGGATAAAAAGATTCATTGTTAACTCTAAAGTCCTGAAGACGTGCCCCTGGGGTCCTACATCTCTCTTTGTAAAACTTGTCTCCTTTCTTTCACTCTCAACTTTTTGATTTTTTTCCCACTCCCTGTATTGTGTCTCCCTTTCCTCTGTGTCTGTTCCTCTCTCCTCCTGAAGGCCTTCGCCTGGTGGTCGGACCTGATGGTGGAGCATGCAGAGACCTTCCTGTGTCTGTACTCGGCTGACATGGACGCAGCTCTTGAGGTTCAGCCGCCCGACAGCTGGGACAGCTTCCCCCTCTTCCAGCTGCTCAACGACTTCCTGAGAATGGACTGTGAGTGAGAGCATTAGAAAAACACATTTAACAGTCAGCATTTGGCCTGAAGTAGCTGCACGTGCTGAGCAGTGGATGTGGGTCCTCTAGAGGTGGATCAGTGATCAGACACTAGGGACAGGGATGAAGGCTTATGTAATGGAAAGTCAGATTATTCACTGTCGCGGCGAGATAAAGATAAATATATCACTGAAACGTAGCTCTTAATAAAACTGTCGCTGGGGCAGTAAGAAAATCTTACGCAGGAAGGAAATTATCCGATGTCCAGACAAGAAAGGCACAATGATTTCACCTGTGGCTTTTCCTGTAGCTTAACCTGGTCAAATACCATATGCTCGTTCTGGGGCACCAACCCCCCATCTCCAATATATAATAATCATGAGGTTTCCAAATCACACAGTGCCCGAAACCGCCTTCAAAATAAAAGCATAAAGAATTACTTGAACTAACTAAATAATTACAGTAAATAATAATATATTTAATAATAATAATAGATTTAATTTGTTAGCGCTTTTACAGGTGCTCAAAGATGCTTTACAGATATAGTGAAGATAAAATAAAATAAAGGAACAACAAATAAATATATAGTTAAAGTTAAAGTCAAATAATACAAAAACAATCACACATTAAAAGCCAGATTGAAGAGGTGAGTTTTTGTGAGTGTTTTGAAGGTGGTGAGGTCAGTGCAGTCTCTGATGGGTTCGGGGGAGTGGTAGGGGGCAACGACAGAGAAGGCTCTGTCCCCCCAGGTCCAGTGATTGGTGCGGGTGGGGATGGATAGGAGGTTGGCTTCTGATGAGCGGAGGCAGCGGGAAGGGGTGTGGTGGTGCAGCAGGTCTGTGAGGTAGGGGGGGCCTGGTTGTTGAGGGCTTTGTGAGTAATCAGGAGGACTTTGAAGTTGATTCTTTGACGGACGGGGAGCCAGTGGAGGTTCTGGAGGACGGGAGTGATGTGGTCTCGGGAGTGGGTGTGGGAGAGGAGGCGGGCAGCAGAGTTCTGGATATGTTGGAGTTTATTGAGGAGGTTGGATGGTATGCCGTAGAGCAGGGGTACTCAAATACAAATCTTAAAGGTCCAAAATAAATGTTTCAATAAGACAAAGGTCCGTTTATTACGGTCATTCAAACTTTTAAACAATTGCAACAAGATTCTTAACACGAGGTTGCAAAAACAAAAATAATCTGTATGCAGCAGTTTTCATTGTTATTGTGTCTGTGCTTGACCCCTCAGAGTCGCAGTGTAAGAGCTGCACAGTTAGGAATAAAGGCAGCTGCACCCTCTTTCATTCAGCATTCCCATTATTGCTTTATAAATGTATTGCCCCCTTGTGTGTCCACTGAGGTTCGTCAGGCCCAACACATCTTCAACAAACTCCCCCTTTGCCTCATCATAAAAACTCACAAACACCAGCAACTGAGCATTGTCAGTGGTGTCAGTGGACTCACCCACAGCTAAGGAAATGCACTGTGCATTTTTTATTCCATCACAAAGCTGATGAATCAAATCACCAGCCAGTATTTATGTTCTTCTGGTTGCTGTGCAATCTGAGAGGGGGATTTGCTTGATTTGACCTGTTATTTCCTCTTTTTGTTTGCCTTCAACATGGTCTCCATCACTTCAGTCATGCATTCTTTTATACTGCAGTTATTATCCAGTGGAAGGTCCTTACCTACTGGCCTAGTTCAATCAAAGTGGTTACTTTTTTTTGGCTGGGCAGTGTAGTTTTACACACCGTCTTATTTGACTTTCTCAGGACTTAAAGCAGTTTTTTGGGGGCAGACCGCCTCAAAGAAAACAATATATTTACACACGTAAGGTCATCATCTTAATAGTTTTGTATGCTCATCCGTGAGCAGAGCATCAAGTTGACATGTCTATTACAGCTGAATGCGGCGATTACCATTTTGTTCAGCGAAACGCCTCACAAACGTATTAAGATCAACAGCTTTAGTGCGTTTTGATTCAATGCTGAGTACAGTCAAACTGACAGTCTCTTCTCTGTCAGACCGCAAATACCTCATTCCTTCAGTGCTTGGGTCCGAATGCTTCTCGTTTTGCGCCGTCCAGTTAAAAATGAAATCGCCGCCAAATCGTATGTCCACGCTCGCGCCAGGACCGGGGGAGGGGTTACATGACGTGCATCTTGTGCTGCATTCACTTGCACTCGGACATTAGAGACTTTCTCTCATAAATGTCCGATGAGCCACAACTTTTCTTTCAAAACAAAGCTGCCAACTGGGGTGGCAGCTGGGGTGGCAAGGCCTATTTTTAGGGTGTCAGTTGCCGCCCCGGAAGGTGAAACTAGGCTACTAGCTACAGTACAGATGGAACTAGATGAGCTGTTAACTCTCGCTCTGAATTTTTTTTTTTTAATTCTCGCTCTGACTTAGACAGGTTGAAAGAGACACACACATTTTTCCCACCCGCATTCCGCGAAGACCCGCCCTACTGTGCCTCTGATTCGCAGATTGTTTGGGGGGGGAAACGCTGACTGGATGCTGAATGTGATTGGACCAAAGCGTTGACACACACAGGTGGAACACAGTGGAACAGTCAGACATGCAGAGCGCTGTTTGCAGTGGACATAGCGGAGAATTTTGACTCGTTGCGAATGCGTTGTGGCGATGTCTCACATATAATACAGAGAGATAATACATATGAAAAGTATAATTTGCTCAGAGTCCGGAGACAGTGCTGGTTCGGTCCGGATCCGGACCGGAGTCCGTAGTTTGAGGATGCCTGCCGTAGAGGATGCTATTGCAGTAGTCGAGTCGTGAAGTGATGAATGCATGAATCAGGGTTTCAGCAGCAGAGGAGGAGAGTGATGGGCGGAGACGGGCAATGTTTTTGAGGTGGAAAAAGGCGGTCCTGGTGATGTGATTGATGTGGTGGTTGAATTTGAGCTGACTGTCGAAGATGACTCCGAGGTTGCGGATGTGAGGGGTGGGGGGGGGGGGTAGAGTGTGGCTGTCAATGGTGAAGTTGAAATTCTGGATGTCTTTGATACGGGATGGGGGGCCGATGATGATGATGTCTGATTTGGCACTGTTCAGTTGGAGATAGTTTGTTTGCATCCATGCTTTTATTTCTGAGAGACAGTTGGTGAGAGTGGAGTGTGTTGGGGGGGTGATGGTTTTTACTATGAACTTATTGTTTTTACTATGAACTTATTTACTATGAACAAGAACAGCCATAAAATAAAAATGTACCATTATAGAATATTAAAGGTCCCATGTCCTGCTTTTCCGGTTATTACCCGTCCCCTTGTGGGTTATGTAGCTTTTTCTGCATGTAAACAGCTTTCTCATCTGTTTGTCATTACTGGTGTCATTTTCTGGTTGCTAACAAACGCCATTGTAACACATAATCACTGATGTTCTGCTGTAACGGTGGTGGACTCATCAGAACAGAGAGGGCGAGCTGACCAATCAGAGCACACTGGGCTAACAGGGAGGGGGGGGGGCAGGAGCTCCAACAAGCCGTGTAGGACAGAGAGTGAATACACATACTGTACAGAGATGCTCTGTGAGAAACCAATGTGAGTTTGGAACATTGAACAATGTGAATCTATTCTAGTAGACCTCAACAATGGAAATATGATCAGTAGAAATGGCCATGACATGGGACCTTTAATGATTATATGGCCCTTTTCAGGTTGTAATAAATTGTGAATCTCGTCGTACAGTATAAACATATTTTCTTACCTAATTGTCTATCACAATATGAATTAAGTCAATATTTCTGGGGCACTTTAAGATTGCCTTAAGCTCAAAGTTATTAAATACTGAACCATACAAATGACCCAGAATGTTGTATGAGCCACAGAAAATAAGTTTAAATAAAAAGAAATTGAAAGAAAATGCTCATCAGTTCCTATCCCTCTTTTCCTATATTCTTCAGGTAGTTGCTTGACTCCTAGTCTGCAGAGAGTCAATATACTCGATAGATGCTTGTAAGAGTGTCAGTATCCACTCTGATTCATTCTGTGAGCAAACAGGGATCAGAGTGGAGCCCACTGACTTCCTGCTAGCAGCTCTTTATGGTAAAACTTGTCTCTTCCATATTTCCAACCTTTGAACCCTAAACATTGTAAGTGTTTCACTAACTCCACCATCCTTGCTACCAATTTTAGTAGGACATTTCTAAAATACTGCCTTATTAGAGAGAGAGTTTGAGTGAGGGTTTCAGCACCTAGTTCTTTTTTTAAACCACAACAATCCAGAGCCTTTATAATGAAGGTCTACAGCCACTGTTGCCTGAGCACTCCACTCTCTCAAACATCTCTCAAATGTCTCGGAAATCATTGCTGTCAACGTGAGATGTCTACTTTTGTCCTGGAGCAGTTTACATACTGAACTCTCTGTGTGTGTGTGTGTGTGTGTGTGTGTGTGTGTGTGTGTGTGTGTGTGTGTGTGTGTGTGTGTGTGTGTGTGTGTGTGTGTGTGTGTGTGTGTGTGTGTGTGTGTGTGTGTGTGTGTGTGTGTGTGTGGTGTGTGTGTGTGTGTGTGTGTGTGAGATAATAGTCAGGTCTTGATGTTGGTTGCTGCAGGCCAGCCATCTCTCTAATGAACTGCATGCACTTGCCTGCAGGAGAGTGTGGAGCTGTCCGTGGTCCTGTAAAGGAAACACTTCAGTGTTCACAATGCAGACTCAATCTACGGGGCGCTAATTGTCCCGAGGGAATGCTTCCCCTTTTCAGCTCGTCAGTCGGGAGTCAAGGAGAGGACGGAGCGTGGTCCACTCATTTAGCTGAACACAGATGACTGCAAATAGCTTGTTATGCTCACTTGTTAGTGTCTTCAAATTGGCCACCTTCTCATTTGCTACATATTGTCAATTGTGTGGAAATGGCAATTGAAGTGCATTGCAGTGGACATAGCTACACCAGCCAGCAGTCAACAGAGGGACATACCTTCTAGGGCACTGGCTATAATTGTTTTTTAAACATAAAACCAAAATCTTGGAAGTATCTTTCTTTCTGGTTTTTCACTGAACAACATTTATTATTCATATCTTGTACACCATTGAGACAAAATAAGATTATTTTTTTATCAAATTAATCAACATTGATCTTTCACCTTTCATCCTTCTTCTTTAAAGGAATGCTCTACTCATTAGATAATTAATCAAAACTTCAGTATTTAGTGAAACATTATGTTTAAACCATACCCTGAAGAAATCAGTGATATTCCCCGGTAAATAATGATTTTATAGCTCTTTTTTATCAAAACCTGTATATTCCGTCAGGCCGCTGCCATTTTGCCCATTTTCAGTAGTCACGTGATGGTCGTGACGTCATCCATGCGTTCACTTTGTAAACACCATATACAGTCTATGGTAAACACACGAAAACATGGCGAAGTTTTGAGCAATATGAAGAGATTGGATGGGGGAATTCAGCCATACAGGTTCGAGCCTACTTAGTACTACTTAGTACTACTTAGTAGATACAATGATTTTGATTACTAGATATGTATGCATGTAGTACCACCCTTGCTAGCGATTCCCTCTCTAGTTTAGCATACTCAGCCTCGTTGTCCCTGGCCCTTGAACCACGATTTTATGGGGCCGGAAAAACTGGGGGGAAATACCCACTAGCCGGTACTACGCTATATGGAAAGGCCACCAAAAACTGGCCTGGCCTGGACGATAAAGGACGTTTAAACGGGGCTACCCGCTGCAATGGAAATGCACTATAACATACCTTATTCTTACTCCGAGCACTACTTCTGGTCCTCCGTCGCTTCACACTTGCAGAGGGCGATTTCTCAACTGGCCGAACTGGTGTCCTGGTCGGTGATGACACCAGAAAGACAGATGGTACTGCATCTCCATTAAGTAATGGTTGTTCAATAAATCCCATGTTATGTTTTATCATACTCTCAGAGTAGTCGTCCGGAAACTTGAAATGTTCGCTGCATACATGCGCCTGTGGATCTTTCGGTTCGGGCCGGCCACATTTCGCTAACCACTGCCTCCGAACGTACTTCCTACGCTTACCTTTTGGCAACAGATGGAACCGAGCATTCCGTGGATTGTTCCTATCAGAATTGTGGCAATGTTTCGCGATACAATGAGGCATATTTGAGGAGAGTAACTACAGTAAATAACATGAACATCAACGTGTCCTCGAAACCAAACACATGGTTTACGTCACGTCCGGTAAAATGGCGCCGCCCACAGTGTTGATGTTATTTCGGTAATTAATCAGTTTAAAATCACTGATAATGTCATCGGATTAAAAAAAAAAAAGAGAGACTGGCAGAGACTGGTCTGTTTTATCGGATGATAATTTTTTTTAAATGAGTGTCATGAGCATACCATTCCTTTAATAACCCCTGTATAATTTAAAGGCAGAAGTATGTCAACAGTTCCGATGACAAAAACTAAATAAGTTCCTAAAACGGTCTGAACCAACTCTACTTCTGGCCCTCAGGCACAAGCCCGTGGGTTTCTACTGAAGTTATGAGTCTTCTGAAAAGGCTTACTGATTTCCCTGAAACAGCTTGTCACATCATTACATCGTCACATTTTACTGAAGGCTCTCCATACTTTTCAGGTACTCAAAGACACTTTACATGCTAAATAATATATAAACTAGGGCTGTCAAACGATTACAAATTTTAATCAGATTAATCACAGCTTAAAAATGTATTAATCATGATTAATCACCATTCAAACTATGTCCAAAATATGCCATTTATTTATGTATATTGTTGTGGGAATGGAAAGATAAATGAAAGAAGGCGGATATATCCATTTAACATACAGTATCTATGTTTATTATAACATTTTTCTGCGTGTCAAAATGAAAGACAGCCCACACACCTATCAATCATCAAACCGTGGGGTCTTAATTCATTACGTGTTGATTTCTATCAACGGGGGAGTACTTCAGGAAAGTCGACAGAGGGGGGAGGGGGGGCTAGTGGAGTACTTCGTGACCACAGAGTGTGAACGTTGTGATCAGCTGTTTTAGCGCAGTTCTCCAGTGAAGGGGGGGAGTCTCCCTCCGCAGCCGGTTGGCGTAGTTTTGGCACAATTCCGTTGTACAGACCGACGTTAACAGCAGCCCTGTCTGTGCACACGGAGACCGACTCTGTCGTCCGGTGATCTAACCGCCTTCTGGAAAAGCTTCACAAGTACGTCGGTACGCAAATGCGCTTTGTGACACAAGTGACGGTACGCATTTCAGAGAGATTACGCACATAACCTGCGTACCAGTTATGTGCACCCCTGTACTACAGCAAAAGTATTCTCCGTCGGGACTTCCTGCAACAACACCACGCCGTTATCAAAGATGTTCTATTGAGAAGACGATCACTACGTGACAAAAGTTTTCAAAACCGTGGCTACTGAAATCAATCTTACTAACTGCTGTCTGTGCAATTGACTCCGCGAGTTGGCAGACTTTATTTTGCTTACTTTAACATCATTTTTCATGGTGGGGCTAAGCCATTTCTTGGTATGGGTGTAGCCTACCCCAGCCATACCCTGGCGCTGCCACTGGTGGCACGTATGGGGCGGGCCATTCTGCACATGCGTTAAATGCGTTAAATATTTTAACGCAATTAATTCAAAAAATTAATTACCGCCGTTAACGCGATCATTTTGACAGCACTAATATAAACACAACAATAATGACAGATTATTGGCAGAGTTAATAGAATAAATACCATATAGTGTAGGTACTACATACGTAGGTATTCCAGGTTTCTATTCCACTTCAATCATTTGCCAAATTACAAAAACAAAAAACAAGAGATTCATTTTCATCAAAACCACTAGATCCTGCCATCCTTCCCATGATGAACTACTAACTTTAATTAAAAGTTCAATAAAAGCAGGATCTCTGCAAATGATCATGCCAGGGTGCCAGGTTTGTTTTTCCGAATCAGACCACTGTGTTATTTGGAAGCAAAATCGGAGGGTCTGTCTTCAATAGCAACATTAAACCAGCAGAGTCCTCACAGTGTGAAAAGCGCACACTTTAGTAACGAACATCCTCACAGGAACATCTTTTCCACAGAAGGTCATCTGCTCTGTTGCCCCACAGCGGTGCACTTATGGAGCAGTAAATAGCCTTAGCCTGAGCACTAGGCAGGCGCCAAAGTCGCGCTGCCATTCGAGGAGTTAATGAGGTCTAAAGCAGGGGTAGTGGGCCCTGCGAACACACTCCTGGACACAACACATCCAAGTGGACAGCAGCCGCTCAAGTGGCTAATTGGGAGAGTGGTAATCAGGGAACACAACAAACATCGCACCTACTGTGTATCATCGACCTTGACTCCAATGCCAACACACACAAACACATACATGCTCAGAGGGGGAGAGAAAAACAAAGAGGGAGAGGAAAAGCAGACACGCTGCATGGAGCCGTGAGGCATCACATTAGCACACACTGGCCTCCATTTTATCTCCTGTGGTCTTTGTCAGTGTTGCCTTTTTACCAGTTGGGAGCCGGCACAGAATTGTGTGTGTTGGGTTGGATTTAAAAAAGGCAGGGATTCCCACCTTTTGTCTATACAGATTGCAAACTGAATATGCTTAGATAGCAGCTAATGAAGAGCCAGTGTTAACAGAAACACCTTCCTCCCCTGTCATTGTTTATCATCATCGTCTAGGACAGGGAAATCTATTATTTATCTGGCTGACCTTCTGATTTATCTTGTAACCCAACATGAACACAACAAGTGTACAAAGCACCTTTGGGTCGCATCTACACTCATGAAGCAGGAATGAAACAAGAACTGTAGTGCTGCACCTGCTGAGAGTTGGAGAGATTAAATCAGAGATGAGTCTGCTCAGTCATGAGATTATGGAGACTTGTTTTTGTGTCTCTTCACCATGGACGCACATGACCATATTCGTTTTCCAGCCAATGGTTTTACTCATTGATATCGCTGATCTACAGGGGACAGTAACATGCTAGGAAAGTAGTTACAATTAGTTTTGAGCTAATAACGACAAGAAAGAGGAAGACATTCATAGTAAACATAGTACGCACTGCAGTGAGGGGCTTCTCGTGTGCTTAGGTTAGCTAAGTCTCTTTGATGTTGTTTTTTCACCCTCCCCAGATAACCTGTGCAATGGAAAGTTCCACAAGCACCTGCAGGACCTGTATGCCCCCCTGGTGGTGCGCTATGTGGACCTGATGGAGTCTTCCATTGCTCAGTCCATTCACAGAGGCTTTGAAAGAGAATCCTGGGAACCTGTCAAGTAAGGATGCCTTCATTCACTATACTGTTAGCTATCTTCTTCACCCGCAGTGGGGATGTGTTCTGTACAATTTAGATTTTTAAAACACATTGTTAACACAAACATTGATATGTCAAAAGAGAGTTATTATCAGTTATTATGTGAGCAGGTTAATAACTGTCAGATGGCTGATATGACGGCGGCAGATTTGTATTTTGCTTTAATATATGGCCGTTTAATCTTTAGTTTAGTCTTCTTTCCAGTGTGCTATAAATAAATGTAAAAAGAAAATTAACAGTGAGGAAATATCCAAAACACATCATCAATAGCCGCGTTCACACCGGAGTACTTTTCCCCTTTAGTTTCGTTTTTCCCCTTTAGTACCCCGTATGTTGCGTTCACACCAAAAAGAGTACTTAGTGCCGGGAACTTTTACTCCCATTTTTAGTGCCTTCTAGAGAGGTGGTACTATCCTGGGGGGGAAAAGTGCCCCAGTTCTGATTGGCTGGGCGAATTGCAAACCACACCCCGTAAAACTCTGAAAGGTTTTGTGAAGCCGCCTTTGTATTTGTGGCATTAGCATTATTATCATTAGCCCCACGCACCAACGCAGAGAGACTAACTTATGGCAACACAAAAGAAAACATGGGAGCGGTGGAGATGAGGAGGTGTCGGCGTTCTGGCGATTTACTCGGAAGGCTTCAGTAGAAGCTGCTGGGAGTCCCAGCAGCTTCTACTGAAGCCAGTCCCCAACTCCGGGGACTTCGGGCGGCAGTATACGCCGTGAAGTTGTTTGCAGCCTGCCAGTAAACCCAAAGCAGAAGAAGAAGAAGTGACGTCAGCGGCTCATTTGCGTAATCTTCCCACAGGGAAAAGTACTCTGGTATGAACGCGATTGGTACTTAGTGCCCTGGGGTATTAAGTGCCGTGGCACTAAGTGCCGGGGCACTGCAAAGTACGCGGCTATTGCCAATCAACAATTTCCCTGTTGAAATTGTAAATAATATCCAGCCTGTCCTCCTCCAAAAAACGACCAAATAGGTCGATGTTCAGCAGCTTATTACGACCTATAGTCACGTTTTAAAGTTTAGCACCTCTATTGGTTGTGTAAGAAACAACAATTTGCGGCATATGCTCCTGTTGATTGCAAACGCTCCGGAGGGTCGTATATTCACAAATAACCCTCTCTGGAAAATCCTAGATTGTAGAATAGTTTGGCCATTAAAATGCTTTTTGATTAGATTTCTAGAGAGAAGTGTATATTGTACTTTTAGAATCCACGTCCAGTCGATGTGTAGGATCTATAGTTTGATAGATATTACGAAGATGATTTGAGGTCTCGTCAGGAGAACGTTAATATACTACGTCTTTCCCCACAGCGTCCATGTAAAGTTGGCGTCAACCCTCACGGGGTGAAAACGATGGGTTACGTATTGTAACCCTAGTTATATAAGCACAGGCGGAGCCCTCTACTGGACTCTATGGGTACTGCCCTTGACCTTACTATGCGAGTGTTCACCTACTGAGATATTTATAAACGTAGCCGCCCCCCGGGGGTGGGCCTACATGAGTGCGTGCGCAGGCCCACCGTATATAAGGCAGCCACGCCTCCCGACTGTCCTCCTACACCCTCTTCAGCGAGCAGCATAGGACAGACAGGACCCCTAGTAGAGGGCTCCGCCTATACTTATACAACTCGGGTTACAATACGTAACCCATCGTTATATCTCACAGGCTCCGCCCTCTACTGGACTCTATGGGTACAGTGGGTGGAGCCCTGATGGATACACGCCCTGTCGTCCAACAACCCATCAAACTGCCACTGACCGGCTTTATTTGGTTAACAACCACTGCACCGCAACCTCTCCTCCCTCGGCCATGACCATGGAGGAGCCGGGCCGCAGTTTACTTGGCTGATAGAGCAAACTCAGACACGCTTACCTCGCGAAGAGTGTGCATGGAAAATAGTGAGGAAGGCTCCCCGCTGTATGGGTCTCACTGCGCACCATGTTTCCCGGGTCCCTAAAGAGCATGGGAAACCATAAGTGCATCATGTCCAGGGGGTGAGGGGGGGGTCAGATACCTACTGACCCACAGCCCGCCTCCCCCCCCTCACCAGTCCTGTGTTGCCCCAGCAAGCACAGACGATGAGAAGGAGCCAGACATGTCCAAGAGATGAAACTTTATGAAGGGGCCTGGCGTTGACCAAGACGCCACTGTGCATATGCCCTCCACACTCACACCGCTAAATAGCTCGTGTAGAGTGCGCACGGACCCCCGTGGGGAAGGCTCTCCCCGCCTGACCGTAGGCATGTGAAATGCACTCGCAAAGCCATTCTGCCAGGCGTTTCTTGGACAGAGCTTTACCGGCCACACACCCCCACCCCCCCCTCCTAGCCTCCCTGTCCCCAATATGGGTGGAAGACTAAAGCCTCCCAGCTGTATCCCCTTGACCGAACA